TGGGGCTCAGCGGGGCTCTCCCGCTGGGAGCTTGGCTGAAGACCACGACGCACTGCCCCACCTGAGGGAGAGCAGGGAACAGACGTCAGGAGGAGCCTGGGTGCTGGGGAGAAGAGGTTACAGAGCATTTTGGGCAGGGGTAGGTGTGAGGGAGCAGGGAGCCCCGTGTCCGTACCCTGCAGGCAGGATGGCACCACAGCTCCGGGGCTCCGTGGTCCTCGTTCTCCACCTTGAGCGGCTGCCACGTCCAGGGGTTGGCCTGCATGTGCAGCAACCAGGCGTCTTTGAACAGCTGGGGAGGGAAGGGTCACACATTCAGGAGTCTGGGCTGGCATTCAGGAGCCCAGGCTGAGATTCAGGATCCCAGGCTGAGTTTTAGGAGCCCCAGCTGAGATTCAGGAGCCCAGGCTGAGTTTTAGGAGCCCAGCTGAGATTCAGAAGCCCAGGCTGAGATTCAGGAGCCCCGGCTGAGTTTTAGGAGCCCCGACTGAGTTTTAGGAGCCCAGGCTGAGTTTTAGGATCCCAGACTGAGATTCAGGATACCAAGCTGAGATTCAGGAGCCCCTGCTGAGTTTTAGGAGCCCAGGCTGAGATTCAGGAGCCCAGGCTGAGTTTTAGGAGCCCAGGCTGAGATTCAGGAGCCCAGGCTGAGTTTTAGCCCAGTTTGCTGCTGGGCTCAGCCCATCAGGGCCATGGTGGGAGCGGTGTTTTGCTGCTGCAGACAGAAGATGCTGACCCAGAGTTAATCACCCATGAGTGACTACATCCCGCTATGGCCATGGATAAATCCCTTCATTGCCATCTGCTATCCCAGTACAAAGTCAGGGCTCATCCTGACGAGCCTCAGTGAACCCAGGGAGCTGCTCAGAGAGCGCCTGGGGTGATTTTTATTAATTAAATCACCTCCAACAGCAGCTAAACAGCTTCTCTGGAAAATCAACCAGGTGGGTGCCCAGACTTGAGGAATAAAATGCCACCAACGTGCAGAGTCCCCCCATCCCAAATGCAGCCCCAGGTGCCAGGGGGATGGTGATGTCCCTGCTCCCCAGGTACTCACTGCATTGGGACCCCCGCAGCCTCCCAGGATCAAAATGGTCTCGTTGTCTATCACGATCTGCAGGGGACAAAAGAGAGTTTCAGCCTGGGAAGGATTTTTGGCCAGGCCTCCAAGGGGAGACACAGGCAGGTTCTCACTGCATGGGCGTTGCTGGGGTCTGTGTGCCCAGGATGAGGAATGGAGCTGGTTTTGCCTGGGACAGAGCGGGATTCAGGGCTCATCCCACCCCTTGTCCCACACCAATCACCCTTCCCAAGGCTCCAGGGCCCCAACACCCCTGTGCAAAGGAGGGGAGGGTGGAAGGATTGTTTGGGAGGGCAGGTGTGGCAGCAGTGTCCAATCAGTGCTGCTGCTGGGTGAGGGATCCCCATGGGCTCCATTCCCAGGGCATGGAAGGAACATTCTGAGCCCTGCTGGGACCAGCCCCACTCTGGGGATCACTGAGCATCCCCAGATGGGGACAGCTGCCTCAGGCCAGGTGACAGCCATGAGCTCCCTGCCCAGCAGGTGCTGCTGGAGCTGTGCTTGGAGCAGGAGCAATGCCGGGATCAGGAGAGAGGAGCAGTCATGAGGGCCTGGAGCCAAACCAGGCTGTGCTGCCTCTCCACTGATCCCCATGAATGGATCCCCATGGGCTCCATTCCCAGGGCATGGAAGGAACATTCCAGCACGAGCCATCCAAGCCCTGCTGGGACCAGCCCCTCTCTGGGGATCACTGA